ATGAACAACATAGGTGTGAGGGTGCCAGAGTCCTAAAGCTTCCGCTAGAGATGAAGCCCATCAGTTCTGCCATGTTTTATTGGTTAAAGTCGGTCACATGTCCACAGCTAGCATCAAAGAAGAATGAGGACATGCAATCCTACCTTGTGCCAGAAGGCAGAGAGCTGGAAATATTTGGAGACAGCACTAATGACCACTACACTAGCCAAGTGACCTTTGAGCTCATTTCCTCCTCTGCAAAATGGGGACGAGAACAGTATTTGCCTCAGAGATTGTTGTGAGGATTAAAAGAGAAAAGTTATGTAACACCCTTGGCACAGTGTGGCACACGGGTGAGGTTGAGGCCCGGGATATTTGTGTACAATGAGGAACCAGCATGCCAAGCCTTCCTCTTCCCCTGCAAACACTGACCCTGGATCCCGAGGCCCCGTCGCTGAGTGGTGAGCAGAGGATGGATAATTTTCCGCAAATCTGTCTTCTCTCACCCTAGGATCTGACAGTGACCACCTAGGTCAGGCAAAACTTCATTGCCATAAAATGTCCCCCCACCCCCAGCCTCATTCACAATCATCTGAGACTTCCTATCCCTCACGTGACTGCTTTATGACAAATCTGCCCTTCTGTCCAGTTAGAGGATAGGAGTCCACTGAAGAAGCGTTACAGAATCCGAGGTAAATGTGAAGGAAATTAACATCTATTTTTTGCTGAGCACTATGCTGGATGCTTGACCCACGTTACCTCATTTAAACCTCATAATAGTCCTGTAATAAAGAGAATGTGATGATCTTCATTTTGAGGTGTGGGAGCTGTTGCTTGGAGTAGTTACACACCAGCCCAGGGTTACATAGCTAGTCAGTGGCAGAGCTAGGATTTGAACACAAACTCCGTGACTCAGAAGACCACATCTTAGCTTCTGGGCTGTCTTTTCCTATTTCATTCAGACTTTTTTCTTTTCTTTTCTTTTTTTGAGACAGAGTCTTGCTCTGCCCCCAGGTTGGAGTACAGTGGTGCAATCTCAGCTCACTGAAATCTCCACCTCCCGGATTCAAGCGATCATCGTGCCTCATCCTCCCCGGTACCTGGGATTACAGGCATGTGCCACTACATGTGGCCAATTTTTGTATTTATCAGTAGAGATGATGTTTTCCCACGTTGGCCAGGTTGGTCTTGAACTCCTGGCCTCAAATGATCCACCCACCTCCGCCTCCCAAAGTGTTGAGATTACAGGCGTGAGCCTCTGCGCCTGGTCCAGACTAACTTTTATCCAGGCCATAAACTCACCAACAGCCCAATCACAGATGTTTAGCCTTTGGGTTCTATTGTGTTGTTGTGGAAACTGCCCTGCTTCCGAAGCACCGGGACCAGGCTTTCAGTCACTGCTCACTCCCTACCTTACTGCGCAACTTTGGACAAGTCCTTTTACCTTTCTGGGCCTCAGTTTCTTCACTGAAAATAAAGGGGCTGGACTAACTTTCTTAGGTTCTTTCCATATCTAGGATCTGGTAACATTGAGAATTCCCCACATCTCTTCCTGCCTTTAGCCCTAATACTGTATTAGAAAGCATCACAAAGTAGAAAGGTAGATAAAGATCCCATATTTGAAGTTGTACAGAGCATTAATTAGACTCTCATTATTATTCGAAACTAAAAATAGTTTGTTTGAAGATTGATGGCGCGTTTGTAATCCGTAGCAGTTTTCTCCCTTCCTTGCTATTTATAACAAACTCTGGTTTCCTCTGTAACTAAGTCTGTCTCCTCCTATAAAAGAGGAAGTCAGGCTGAGCCTGCTCCTCAGCTAAGGTCTCCTGAGTCTGCAGCCCAGGGGAGCCTCTCTAGAGTTCTGAGCTCCTGTTGCTGGGCGGAACTGGGCTGAGTCTCCAGGTGGGCACTGGAAGTGGCTGGGCCATATGCTAGCAGGATGGGCTATGCCTGTTCTCGCATGGAACCATGCATAGCTGCTGGGGTGTGGCTCGGTGTTAGGGCTGGAGGTCCAGAACGCTGTATCTTCCTTCCATTCCTAGAACTTTTGCTTAATGCTCCGAGAGTTTTTGCAAATGCCAAATGCCCAGTGCTAACCCTGAAGAAGACAAAAGGAAACAGGGCTCAAGTTCAGGCCACTTTGGGAGACATTTTTAGGGTCTGTAAGTATCTCTTGGGTTTTTAATTTGTTCTGATATGGAGGTTGTTGAGAGCTGGGTGTCCTGGGAGATCTGGGCATCCCAGATGGCTGCCCCAAGTTGCTGCCGGAGTATTTTAACTACAGTAGCGTGGGAGCTTCCTGCCTCAGAGAGGGCTCCCCACACCTCCCCCAGGTTTCCATCTGCCCAGACGCCCACAGCTCCTGTCAAGAGAAATGATGGAAGCCCCGAGATGCGTGGGGGGAGGGCCTCAGCTCAGGACAAGAGCCGGGCTCAAACCCTAGCCCAGTCAGCGGACTCTCGGGGCCAGCTCATCGTGGGGTGTGTGTGTCTGTTTCTGTGAGGCAGTGAGGAACACATTGGGGGTGGGGGAGATACGCACATGGGCCACTAATCCTGAGAAACTTTGGGTTTGGGGAAGGTGAGAAGAAAGAAGAAAAGGGGATAGAGGTGGTGGGAGAGAGGGGGATGGGAAAAAGCCAAAGAGAAGACGCAGTGGCTGTGCTGAAGCTGGACAGTGACAGAAAAGGGCAAGGCTTATCCTAGACATCCTCTGACCCATCTAACCTAAATCCCCCCACGCTGTGGGTTAAGCCTCTTTCCCACCTTGGCCCCCATCTGGCCTCTGAGTAGCAGAGCCCAGGAGTCAGGTCTGGACACTGGCTGCCCTGGTGGCCCAGAAGGGAGCTACTTCCAAACAGCCAAAGTCCTGAGGCATTTCCTGCCCATGTGCCTCCCTGCTTCCCCTGACTTGACACCCAGTGGCCTGGAGGGATGCAGAGGGGGCGGGCAGCGGCTCTGGAGGCATTTCCCAGCAGTAGAAGTGTGAGTCAGAGGGTCACCCATTGTCGGAAGTCAGAGGGGACCTCCTGCAGGCAGGAAACCAGAGTTGGGTCCCAGAAAGGTCCAGAAATGATTTGGCGGGAAAGTAGCTCTTCAGAATGCTACCATCTGGGAGGGTTGAACCCGGAGCCCACTGGGCCTGCAGGAAAAGCCTGAGCCAGCCCAGCTCCCTTCTGCCTGGGCAGTTACTTGGAGGTCATCTGGGAAGTCTGGAAGCAGATACACAAGTTCAAATCCAGACTCTGTTGCTTATATGCTGGAACGCATATATGTGAGGCTCAGTTTCCCCATCTGCAAAATTTAAAAAGAATAAAAAGGCCCAGCTCACAAGGTTACAGGAATAAAATGAGAATATGTGCATAAAGTACCTCATGTAGGGGTCCATATGTGTTAGTCTCCTCTTCACGTCTTATTTTGGTTGGAAGATGGGGAGGAATTGTCCAGGATCTGACTGCAACATTCTGCTAGCCTCTGGCTCCAGGAGAGATGATCCCCTGGCCCTAGGGAGAGCTTCCTCTACATTCAAATGCTAATAAATGGTAATGAAAGGTCCAGGATCCCACTAAGACCTCCTCTCCAGCCCCCACCCAGGGGCACTGCTGGTGGTGCTCCTCCCATTTGCCACCAGGATGAAAAGGATACCTTGATTGGCTCTTGAAATTTGCCACCGAAATTATCTGTTTCTGATTTGACCTTAATAGGTCAAGCCAAACAGGAATCCAAGCTACTAGATGGAGCAGTGTGGGGTGGGGGGTGTGGGGTGGGGGGTGGGGGTTGGGGGGTTGGGGGGAGGAGTGAAGGAGGGAAGGGAGGAAGATGGCAGCAACAGATGCATCCTCAGACCCCAGTTCACACCCTTGCCAAAATCTCTGACAGGGTTTCATCATCGGAGGGTGATGTAAGAGGCTTGGAGTCAGGCTCCCCTTCCTCCCCTCCCCCAGAGATCCCCATGCACATCTGGAGCTGCAGCTGGGTCCTCCTCTTGGGCCCTTTCCAGGGGAGGGAGCTGGGTGAAGTGAGGGCAGCTGGTGAGGGGCCCTGTGAATGGCTGCAATGTTGGGAGGCAGGGGGCAGGGAAGAGGCATCTGGGCTCAGAGGGAGGTGGACTGGGAAGGGAACTGTGGCTTTGCAGCACTGGTCTCCTCCATCCAGGCCCAGTGCTGAAGTCTCCATGGTCCTCCTTGTCCTTTATACCCATTTCTGCAGGCAGCTGCCCTCCATCTTCCCTTCCCCACCCACTTCACCGCCCAGCCTCTCCACCCAGGTGCTTGGAACTGAGTGCCCCCTTTGTTCCCTCCTCTCCCCCAGGGCAGCTCAGGCCTCCCACACTGACCCTCTGGCCCCACTGCCACAACAAGCAGAGTGTGAGCTGGGTCCAGTGGGGTCATCTGTGGGTCATAAAGGTCAATGGGACAGTCGTCTAGCAGTAGGGAGGGGCTAGTCTTGTGCTAGGAGCCTGGCCAGGAATCAACTAAAACAAGAGCTTTAAAATGCTGCAGGGTGGAGGTGGGGGGAATTTTAGTTAGGGGCTAGCAAGAACTCCCTTCAAGAAGGGTTGGCACATTTACTGGAATAAATGCAGAAGGGAAGCTTTCCTGGCTCTTTCGAACTATAAACCGTCAGTCGCTGTGGGATGCCGGGGAGACCAGGGTTCTTACCATGCTTCCCCACGAACTCGCTCTGCGACCTTGGGTAGTTCCCCTCTTTGAGTCTCAGCTTCCTCATTTATGAAATGAGAGTCCCATTGAAGCCGAGGTTCTGCTACTCCAGGAGCTTAGGTTCTAACGTGGACTGCGTCCCGCGCCCCCACCCCCATCCTCCAATCCCGCCCCCTGCCCCCAGCCCCCAGCCACCCCGTGGCCGCGAGCCAAGAGGTCCCTTTAAAGGCGCGAGTCCCGCCCCCGCTGCTCATTCGGGCCTTCGATTGGCGGCTCCCGGGTGGGGCGGGGCCCGGCGCGGGCTCGGGGCGGGCTCGGGGCCGGGTCGGCCCCCGCCCCCTTTGTTCGCGCTGCGGCGGGAGGTGGCGGCCGGGTGGGAGGTGTGTGCGCGTGTGCCGCGCCGTAGGGAGCGGCGGGTCGCGCCGCCGGCTGTCAGCTAGCTCCGTGCCGCCGCCCGATGGCGCGAGGAGGCGCGCGGGCCCAGCCCCGGGAGGCCGGCCGCGGGTGAGCCCCCCGGCCTGCCGCCCGCGAGCATGTCACCTCCAGCCGCCGCCGCAGCCGCCGCCAGCCGCGCCCCCGCCTCCCGCAGCCGCAGCCGCTGCCTCGGGCATTGGCCCCCAGACCCCCGCCTCTGATCCACGCCCAGACCCTAACGCCAGAGGGCCATGGCCGGCCAGGGGGACTGCTGCGTCAAGGTGGCCGTCAGGTAGGACCCGCGGCGGGGAAGGGGGCGCGCGGAGGGGGCTCGGGCTTTGTCTCGCGTGGGATTTGGGCGGGGGGCCGGGCGCCGATCGGGCTGAAGCCCGCACTCCCAGAGGAGGGGCCGGCGTGGGACCGGCTGCAGGGCGCCGCGCGCTGGCCGGGCCGCCGCAGGGGAGCGGCGACCCCGCGGACTACTAGAAGGTGGCTTTGTTTGGGTGGTAATTTTGGGCCCCTCTTGGGAGCCCTTAATGATCAGAAAATCGAATAAACAAGGAAATCCGGTATTTCACACCCAGCCCTGGCCCAGGCCAGAGCGTCTGTGCGTTTCCTCTTCGCCTCCCCACGAGGCTGCTGTCTCATACGGGGCTACCGGAGGGAGGAAATTTCCCCCTCATCCACGCGAGTCAGCTAGTTCTGTGCTCTTGGTCCAGTTAGCAAAGGCAGCACACCCGCCCTGGGAGCCAGATCTGCAGACAAAGATCCGGAGCGGGCACCAACGGAAAAGCGGGGATGATGCCTTGGCCTTCTGTGGGAAGTCACTGGCTTTCAGGGAGAATCCTGCCAGTCCTGTCCCAAGAGGAGGTGGGGCTGGGAAGGGGAAGAGGTGTATCTGAGATGCTACCCTCTGAGAGGGCAGGAGGATGTGATGCTGACGCCCATCTTCGGGCATTCAGATAAAATCGAGCAGGGGAGGGTTACCTAGACTTATCTGGGGTTCCATTCTCAACAGCTCTGGGACTTGAGCCGGCAGAAATGAGACAGGGAGAGGACATGGCTGGGTGGGTTCTATTGAGAGGGGTACACAAAGGTGCAGGGGCAGGAAATGCTGTGAAATTGAGCCATCTGTGTTCTTTGTGCTGGGTGGAGACGCTTTACACCTCACCATCTCTCCCAGTTTTTGCTTTGGGTTTTTCTCTTTGAGAGGGGTGTATTGGCGGCAGAGTGCCAATCCGGGGCTGCTCATCAAGGTAGGGATGTGGAAAGAACATCTATCTCTCCTCCAGCTCTGTATGATGGGGGCAGAGGGGATTGTCCAGGTCTAGGGTAGGTCTCTCGGGTCTCTAGATCCCTTGGGTCATATGTGACCCAGATTCCAGGGGTCCTGGGGGGTTGCTCCTAGGCAGAGTCAGAGATGGCAATGAAAAAGCTTTTCTCTTCCTGCCCCAGGGCAGATGCCCCTCGCCCTGGCCACCTTGCCAGCCCTCTGCAGCCCAAAGAGGAGTTGACACTGATCAGTGCTGGGGTTGAGGGAAGGAGATTGAGGCACCCCCCCCATACACCCCAGGCAGCACTCAAGAACCACTTGAGTACAGCTTTCCTGGCCCTAAGCAGCCAGAGAGACAAAGAGGAGCCCGCAGGTGCCTGGTGGGCTGGCTGGGGCGGGGCCAAGCTGCTGCTGGGGCTGACATTGCAGCAGGATCTTGTGGAGGTCGAGGGAGGGGGTGCATGGCTGGGGGGTGGGAGTGAGAAATGTAAATATGGCATCTGCAGCAGATTGAGAGAGTCCGAGAACACCATAAAAGGGAAATGAAGCTCTGGCCCCCACCCACTGTGAACGAGGGCTGGGAAGGAAGGGGCTTGGGTGCCCTTTCCACAGGGGGCTTTCCTTTAGACTCCATCTTGCTGGAGAGAGCTAAACAAAGACCCCCTACCTCTGTTCAGGGTCCCCAGGCTGGACTGGGGCTGAAAAGATGTAGGGCGCCCGCCCGGGGAGCCTCATGGAATTGGCACAGTGAGGAGAAGCTGGTGTTCTCTTCCCACTGCTGCCACCAGAAGCTTCCCAGGCCCCTTTCCACAGAGAAGGGATCATGCCTGCCCTCCACACCCAGTTCAGGGGGATGTGTGTCATCTCTGGTTCCCAGTAAGATTGCCCTAAGTGGGGTCCGGGTGCCCCACACCTTGCTTTTGAGCTGCTGATGTGGATAGAGGGTGGGGGATTGAGCATCAGAAATCAGGCTTTCAGGGTCTCCGGGAAGATGAGGGCCCCGCCCACTCCTCCTCTCCCACCCCAGCATGAGCGCCCAGCCCCGGCACACGCCAGACCTCAATGGGCAGCCGGCCGTGGAAGGCAGACAATGCCTGGACAGAACCCAGTTTCTAATCAGAGAGCTTAGGACTGGGCTGGGGCTGGGCCGGACTGGGAAGGAGAGCAGATGGTGCCAGTGACGGGCTGTAGGGGGAGTTCTCCTTGCTCTTAGATCCTCTTCTACCCCTCCTCCCCTGTAGCACTCCCAGAAATCACTTCTCTCACCTGAAAGACTGGGTGGTGGGCTGCACTAGAGTAGAGCATTTATGGGAAAGGCAAGGCTTGTCCAGGGCCTGGTCCAGCCCCAGGGCTGACTACCTCCTGCCAGGTTCAGCTGTCTTTTTGACTTTCTGGAAGTCCTTTCTTGTATCCAACTGAAGTGTTTTCTGAATTTCCATGAGAATAACTTGTAGTGAGCCTGGACTCCAGCTCTTCAGACAAGGAGGGCCAGGAAGTGGTCTGGGGTGTGTGTGTGTGTGTAGAGAGGAGAGAGGCCCCAAGGCTGTTAGATTAGGTGAGAAGTGCCAGGCCCAGGGCTCTTATTCCTGCAATCTGTTTGGGATGAGGAGATGGAAGCTGGCTGGCTGTGGAGTGCTTCAGTGAAGGCCTGGCCTCCTGGAGAGCCAGAAGAGGAAACTTTCAGGATTTGGGGCTCAGGGTAAGGGAAGAAGGTCCAGGGGTGAGCAGACCCCCACAGCCCCACCTTGTGGCCTCCCCAGCTGGATGGAGTCGGGCCCATCTGTCCCTGAACCCAGGCTAGTCGGCTTTGCACTAAGGGATTCCCAGGCCAGCCTCTCCAGCCTGCCCTGTGATCCCTTCATCCATTAATCCCCTTGTACTGTAAAGTTCTCAGCTTCCTGAGCTGGACTAGAACTGGCCGTTACCTGGGGGAGGAGGCGTGCAGAAAGGCTAGTGAGAGGTAGGGCAGCGCTCTGACCTGCCCCAGGCTGCAGAAATACAAGCCTGACAAATCGGGGGAGAAAGGAAGGGCTGTTAAGAAATGCAAGTTGGCAAAGTTGAAATTGGGGAAGGAAGCCAACTCACATGGAGAGTTTGTTTAAGACCCTTTCAAGTCCCCAGCTCTGAGCCCTCACGGTGAGGGGAGCCCTCCGTGTTGCCGAGCCCCCTCCCCTCTTATCTCTGCCTGGCTTCTCTAAGCTTCCTTCCTTTAGTTTGGTGGTGCCTTGGCCCGGCCGGCATCCATCTGTTGAGACTACAGGGTTAAGTAGCGGATAGGGAGGGGCTTGGGGGATCCAAGGGACAGTGTTTGATTGCACCCCTGCCCTCTCCCATTTGGGTTCTTAAGCTGCAGTTATTTCCCTAGTTCTAGGCTACTCTGAAATCTTGGTCAATGACTGAATTTTGAACCAAGAGCAGTGGTGGTTTGAGAGAGAAAGACTGAAACCAACAGAAGAAACTGTGGGGGTGGGGGCGGGTATTTGGGGTACCTTCCGAGTCCCAAAGCCAGTCAGTGCCAATCAATGCCACCTGTGTCCAGTTTACAGCTCTGGGGAACCGAGGCCCATACAGGGACCTTATAGGCCCTGGGGACTGTGTGGAGACCTGAGAATCTTGGTGGTAGCCTCCTGCTGCAGAAATAGGGTTTATGTCATCACAAGGAAGTGGAGTGTAGTAACCACAGGCCCCGGAAACCTCCCCCTCCACCACCCGGCCTGCCTGCCTGATTGGATCTCAGCTTTTGAAAACCTCCAAGTGGAGGTGGGGTGGGGCCCAGGCCCGGACCAGGGAGGTGGCAGAGGTGATACATGCCTGGCATGCTTATTTTTACAACCCTGGGGGCAAAAGGAGCTGATGCAGTTCATCCACTGGCTACATCATGGGGCACCTTCCCTGTTTGTCTTTCTGGGCCTCAGTTTTACCCACTGGAAAATGGGAACAGCTGCTTTGTTCTGGTTTGTTTATTTGTGAAGAACAGCAGCTTGGAGGAAGACGAAGGCATGAAAATCTTTGGAGGGAACAAAATGAAGAGTAGATTCCTGAGGAGCTGAATATAAATCAAGTGTTTTTAAAAATAGGTCCTAATATAAGTGTACCTAAGAGATGTCTTTGTAGTTTAAGCTTTAGTGAACTATTTAGTAAATCGAATTCACCTCCGATCTGTTGATTAGTCTACTAATTTAAAGCAGAATGCACAGTGTGATGAAAGGAGAGTGAACCAGGATGTGGCTAAGCACCAGAATGTACCAAACCCTCTGTGCCTGCAGCATCTCATTCAGTTGGCCAGGTGACTGCTGTTATTCCCATCGTATAGACGCACAAACACAGGCAGTAAATGGAGGAGGCTGGACTGGAACCCAGGGTGTTCTCAGTTGCGAGCACGTGCTCTTCATGCCACTCTAAGCTGCCTCCTACTTCAGCTGCTGATTAGCTGTGTGCTTGGAGTCTCTATGCCTCAGTTTCTTCAAATGCTTTACTATACACAGTGGCCATGAAATTGAACATGGGAAAGTGAAGGTGGGAAGGCACATGGTGCTGTGCAGCTGTGTGGCAAGGCTGAGGCTGTCCAGATTCTCCTGTATGGGATTGCTTAGCAGCCTGGGGCTGCCTGGCACCACCGCGGTCCTGGCTCCTAAATCCATGCTGTTATCATTTGCGTTAGGGGAGCTTCCCCTCCACATTCTCCCTTTCTTAGATCACTGCAGCCATCCCTGGCATTCGTCTTCCTGCCTGGATTCCATCGTGGCACTCTCTCAGGAAGGATGTCCTGGGGGCAGCCAAGTCTTTTGCTGGCCTCCCACCTCACACACACCAAAGGGCAGACCCCCACGTGTGCTGGGTTTCCTAACATTTCATTTCACCCTCTAGAAAGTGTTGAGAACATTGAGGAGGAAAGCAGTGTCTTCTGCGCGCCTCCCATTAGAACAGCCAGAGGGGCACTGAGAGGGCCTTGGGCTGGGTGGGGATTAGAGGTTGCTTCCCTGCCATGCGGGAAGCTGGACTGGAACGCTGGCTCTTCC